GTCCGCTGCCAAGAAGCCTGTTGATTTCTCTCTCTCTGTATCTCTTCCTTTCTTGTCACCACCCTAATCCAGATGTTTGTTTTGACTCTTTCAGACGTGTTGACTAGCTTGTGAACTATTCTGTCAATAAACAGAACTATTTATTGATGATTTATACTGTGCTAAGCACTTTATATACATTTTCCTTAATACAACAAGCTTTTGTTACTATTATTGATCCCCATTTTACAGATGCAGAAGCAGCAGAGGTACTGAGAAGTTAAATCACTTGCCTAAGGTCTCACAATTAATAAGTAGTGGAACCTGGATTTGGAACCAGGCAGTCTTGTCCCATGCCATTGCTGCTCACCATTCTCAGATTCAGCTTGCCAAAGCTTAATTCTGGTCATATCTCCCCTTCTTCAGGAGTCTTCAGAGGCTTCATGTCTCTTTCCAAATAAACTAAAAACTTTGAAAGGTAGAACTCAAGATTCTCCATAATATGTCATCAGTCTGCTTTTATAATGCCATCTTATGTTGTATTTAAGTTGAACTTGTTGCCTTTTCTGTACCCAAGTACTTTCTCTCTTCCTCTTTGAGTCATGTATTCCTCTCTAATTAGGGTGCTTTCGCCTGTATTTCCAGCTATCAAAATCTTTAACAGCTAACAAAATCATTAATCCTTCCTTCAAGGATCAGTTCACAAGCCTGCTCCTCCATTCCACTTTTCTGGATAAGCCCTGTCACATACGGTGTATCTCTCACTCACTCATTTTCTTCTTTGAACCTTTCTAGAATTCTCCATATGTGTCTCCTAAGGGTGTTATTGTATATTGTATTTTGTTATTAGTATACATACGTGTACCTTTCCCCTATTGTATTGAAATTTCTTTGTGGGGAATAGACCTAATTTATCTTCTTGCCTTACTGATTCCTGCATAATCTTCCATATAAGGCCTAGTACAGAGAACTACACATAATGAGCAAGAGTTAAGTACATAATTTGTTGAATGAATGAATTTTTGTTCTTTTGTATGTTCTTTAGTTCATTCATCTTTTGAAGTAACATCTTGAAAGCAGGTTCAGCTCGCATACAAAATATCCTATAGTGTTCTTTGTATGGATCATTGCTCTCACCCAGAATATTTCTTAGCTTTTTTTATATTAAAGGGTGAAATGGAAGGTTAAGAGTTAGAAGTGTATTTGATCTTTCCTGACCCTGTCCTGACTTTTGTGTGACTTCAAGCATGTCACTTGAACCTCTCAGTGACCTCAGCTGTGAAATGGGGTTGCCTGGTGTCACAGAGGGATTGTGAAGAGCAGCAAATCACAGTCCTTGCCTAAACAGAATCACCTGCAGGGTTCTGGCCGCCTGTATAGAATGATGAGGGAAATTTAATTTCCCAAGTCAGGTGGTCTGTTGGACTCACACTTTGAGTGTCTGTAGGAACAATTAGATGAGAGTCCTTGAAAATCTGTTAGTTTTCTCTTCTGATTTTCTTATGCTTATTTTAAATGTTATTTATTAGGCAAAAAAGCATATTACTATGTTTCCCTTTTTAGACTTCAGAAGTGGGAAGGTATTATGTCAGATATTTTAAAAAGAAGTTGATCTTGGAGAAGAATAAAATTACCTTGAATTTTTATTTTATACCATTGCATTTAGAAAATCTCTGCCTCATAGAGCATTTTGAAAATGATGCTAATCACATTTTAAAGATAACTGTTTGAATATGACTGTATGTAACTCATGAAATGTATTTCCACCTAACTTTTTGTTTTTTGGTGTAGGTAGGCAAGACGATTGCAAATAAGTAGAGCATAAAACAAATAAAAATTCGGTTAGCCATCTTGCAAACAAAACCTTTTTGTATTATACCATTAATGTATTCTATAAAATCTTTCAAGTAGTAATGCTTGGAGGATTTAATAGATTTCCCAGTCTTGTTTGTTTTCTAATTGGTAAAAATCCATTTAATAGGAAATTTCTAAACATTGTATAGAGCATGTGCTGATTATCATTCTTTGACTGCTCTGGGTTTCTGTTGCTTTTAAACTAGCATTTAAATGGACCATTTGATTAATCATTTGTATACTGACTGTAATCCTCCCAAATTTCCTTTCTGAGTTGTACATACTGTAGAAGACAATTATGTCGCCACAGATTAAATAAGTGAATTAAAACAGAATAGCGGCTTAATTTGACCTGTGATTTTGCTCTCCTTCCCTTTAGTGGAGCGTGTGCCACTCCAGCAAATAAATGAAGTCATCCATGACAGCTTGTGATGAATTGCCGTATTTATACTGTATATTTTAATAGCCTCACACTAATTTAAATTGAGCACAGAGTAAATTATAATTCAGTCACTTGACTGCTTATATTTAACTTGACAACTCATCCTTATTTGTCCTGGAGGTGTAGTGGAGAGCATTGGAAATGTACTCAGGTATTTCAGTTTCTCGCTTAACCCTTTCCCCATGAAATGCTTCATATTCAAATTCCCTCCAGTTTGAAACCTTTAGCACTTCCTAAGGAGAAAGAAAATAACGAAGACTCAGAGAGTCCACACTTTTCCTTGTACTTCAAAAAGAAAATTAGTATTTGCCCTGCTTTTTGCCATTACCTTCAAATAAGGAATTGGACTTGTTTATTTTTAGCCATTTTAAAGCTCACTCACAATAAGGCCCAGGGGAAGCGGAATTAACCTTCCACCCAGAGTGCCAAGTCTCCCAGAAAATAGAGAGCATTTGAGTAGAGGTATTTTTAAGGTGGTTACTTCCTCCTCAAGTTCCCAGAAACTGCTTTATTCCCTTTTCCAGCATTATGTAATCTCTACTATCCTTGACTGTAGCATACTAACAGTGATTGCTAGTTAGAGTGCAGTACGTTAGCCCCACAAATAGAGTATTCCGTGCTACATTTTAGGGCAGCACGGCATTTCTTTTTAATTTTGGTATTTATGTCTTTGGTTTTAAATCCAGTAGTTAGAAATCAAACAATCCCTTTCTTACATCTAGAAACAGCTTCTTATGTAGAGGATTCCAATTGTAAGGAGCACTTTAATTAAATCTTATTTCACTTACTTGGCACACTGTGACAAGTTGAGCTAGATTGTGGAAGCATTCCTTGAATGTCATGCTAGAGTTTTAACTTCATGGGAACCCAATGCAAGTTCTTGATCAAGGGAATGATATGTTCACAACCAGTAGTTTGGGTTAATTCCAAGGTGTTGGCTAGCCATATGGAATCATGTTATTTCTAGGTTGGTGGCCTGGAGATGAAATATATCTTAGTGATTATCTATATTAGCTCTGAGTAAGTGGCATGTTTGAAACCTTAAATAAGTAACCTTACTCTGAGTTAAAAATCACTTGGGAACTTTTTAAAAATATAAATACGTGGGCTTAACCTCAGAGGTTCTGATTCCATTGTTCTGGGGTATAACCTGTGCATCTGGATTTTTTTTAAGTGCCCCAGGTATTATAATATGAGACCAGGTTGAGGATCTCTGCTTTAAAGTCAATGATAACTTCATTCAACTTCATTTATTTTAGCAGAGTTTTTTGGGGTGAAAGATTCCCTATACTTGACATAGTGGTGTGAATAGCTATAATATTAATGTTTTTGGCTTAGGGTCAAACCAACTGCAAATGAATTTTGTTGCTAAGTTTTATACAGGAACAAAAACATAACTGATTATTGTTGGCAAATGACTATTGACCAGGAAAAGTGTTTAAATGTCTCTTGGCAGTTTTGTATTAAACGTACAGTCTAGTTTAGTGAGAGCTTTTATAAATAACTGTAAAGCAAACTCTTGATAGAAACAGGCTATACCTTTATTTCACCCTCCCCACCCCTAAGTAGGTGTTATTACTGTAAAATGTATATTTTAGAATTGACCTTTTATTTCCTTGCTCTCTCTGCAGTTTGCAGTTCATAATTTGTTTTTTTCTCCTGTATGATTCTGCAGTTGTAATACAAAATGTAATTCAATGCTGAATGGTGCATAACTATTCAACTATCATAGTAATCCTGAATGTTGAGTTTTTATCTAGAAAGTCTATGGAGTCAGAAACTCTGCCACAGATCTTAAAATTGACTTCTGTTTTATTCTCATCACTGTCTTCTTAAAGTAAAAAATTTCTTTTGAGTAGGTTTCACTAAAATGCTTGGCAAAATCTGAATGGTATGGTCTTTTTAAAAATAAGTGGCTGAAATAAGCTAGAATTTATTGTTCTGGATAAATTTAATATTTTATATTTCTGTGTTACAAATCTGACTCAGTGTTGATATTTTAAGGAAAACCATAAAGCAGCAGGAAGTACTGGAAAGCACATGAGGCAGACAGGCTCTGAAAGAAGAGAGTTCAGAGGAAATGAGATTCTGTCCAACATTCTGTAATAGTATCAGGAAAAAGAACGTGACCCTACTGGAAGAAAATGAAAAGTTGGATATATTTTTAGAGCTCCTTATTACTCTTTAACTAAAAACCCCATTTTAAACGTCATTTTTACTCATCATCCTAGGTTTATCACCCAGTGTCCGAATCACAGGGCAGTTCTTTTTTAATGGGTTTTGAGAGTCATTCTTATCTTTCTCTTTTGAAAATAACCAGTGTGGCCAAAATAGGATGCATAAATTAAGAGTGTTATAACTTAACTGACTTTTAAAGCCATTAATGCTGACCTTTGAGACCTGGCTTTTTCTTTGGTCCCATCAATCACTTTTGTAACGCCTCCCCCAATACAAAAGGTTAGACAGATGTGGATACAGTTTGTATTACTGTGGATTGTAGTGGTGGGAAGGGGGAAGGGGAGATGAATGAATAAAGGAACTACCATATATTTTAGTTGTTGTATTTCATAGTGATTTTAGCTATATTTAATTTGAAGGTGCACATCTTTTTGTCAGGAAATGGAAGCAAAATAACAAGAAAACAAATAAAATTTTAAAATTATATTAAAAATAAAACAAATGTGCAGGTGAAAATGTTTGAATGTTAATATCTTTCTATATTTAGGTCATACTATTAGATATTACACTGGAACTTCAGAAGCAAATCATGTCTGAATTGGAAATTCTTTACAAGGTAAATTTTTTTTTTGGTTGTTTTTACTGGTAAAACATGCCTATGGTAATTGGCTTACAGATTTATAATAACTTTTGTCTTATTTTTGTTACAGTGTGATTCATCATATATCATAGGATTTTATGGGGCGTTTTTTGTAGAAAACAGAATTTCAATATGTACAGAATTCATGGATGGTGAGTTTTCCCTTTTACAATACTTTAAAAATGATTCTTTTGAATATAGAATGCTTTAAAACTTGGTTTTGGTCAAATAGAATTAAAAATAATTAAAATATGCTAATAATTACCTCCTTTCTAGTCTAAAATTATCTTAGTGTTAGGGGTTCCTGGTGCTAATTATTTATAGCTGAGCTATAATTTTAAGAATGTAACTTCATTTACTTTTATTGAAAATTTAAATAGAACAGATTAAATGCTAGTCTAATCGGTGATTTGATATTTGATTCTTCTATGCAATCTGTCTTTACTTGTAAAAACAGATGTTCTGTTCTTTTAATGTTCCAATAGCCAAAACAGATTTTCTTTTAAAGAAATCTATTAACCCAGTGTCCTGTGTCTTTCAGAAAGAAATCAGTTCTTAATTGCAAGATAAGAAATTGTTTTTCAACACAGCTGTTTAGCCAAGATGTGTTTAGTTTTCTTTGGACTTTAGCCCTTTCCTTTCCTTTCCTGTATTTTTTATTCATTTCTATTTTGGTAGCTCTTTCTTGATCTAAATATTATGGTAGAATTTATATCTGGGTATCTTATGTAATGATGACATCATTGTTATATCCATTTTAAATATAAGCAGTCTTTAAATTTTACATATTCAGTTTTTTAATATCTAGTTCATTAAAATGAAACTTTTAAAAGTATATGTAAGTTTCTTGTGGGGAGTCTCAGTATATTACCAAAGCAATTAGTTCATGCCCAGCAAGGCTTTTTAATGATCCAATGTTGATACTTTGATACTATAAGATATATAATGAGTGCTTAGTTATTGTAAATGTCAAGAATTAAAAATCTTACAACCGATGGTTAGTATAACAGTTGTGGAGACTGACAGGGTAAGTGACATCATAGAGGCATATGTTATAACTGTCATCATTTTTTTCTTTGAAGTCTTTAATTTTTCAGTTATATTAAAGTATTTTTATTGAAATACAATTCAAGTATCATAAAAGCCAACCTTTTAAAGTGTATAATTCAGTGGTTTTTAACGTATTCACAAGGTTATGCAGCCATCACTACTAATTCCAAAACATTTATTACTACCCCTAGAAAGAAACCCTTTCCCCATTTGGACTCACTCTCTTTCTCCATTTGGACTCACCCACTTCCTTCTTTCCTCTATTCCTATACCTCTGTTCCTTCTGTCTCCATGGACATTTCATTTAAATGGAGTCCTACGATATGTGACCTTTGCATCTGGCTTCTTTCACTTATTACAATATTTTTAGGGTTCATCCATGATTTAGTATGTATGAGAACTTCATTCCTTTTGTATCACTGAATAAGTTTCATTATTAGCCATGTCACATTTTATTCTTTCATTAGTTGATGGGCATTTGGGATATTTTTATTTTTTGCATAATACTGAATAGTACTACTCTGTACATTTGTGTACAAGTTTTTATTTGGTCATATGTTTTTAATTCTCTTGTATATGTATATGTACCTAGAATTTCTAGGTCATGTGGTAACTTGATGTTTCACTTTCTAAGGGACTGTTCCATTTCATTTTATACCATTTTGCATTAAAATCAGCACTGTATGTGTGTTCCAATTTCTCCATATCTTTGCCAGCACTTGTTATTATGTATCTTTTTATTGTAGCCTGGTGGGTGTGAAATCTCCTGGTGGGTATCTCATTTTGGTTTTGATGTAGATTTCTCTCATCACTACTAATGTTCAACATCTTTTCATGTGCTTATTGGTTATTTATATATCTTCTTTTGAGAAATGCATATTCAGATTCTTTGTCTGTTTTTTACATGGGCTATTGGTACTTTTATTGTTGAATTGCAAGAGTTCTTTACATATTCTAGTACTAGCTCTTATCAGATGGAGAATTTGCAAATATTTTCTCCTAGTCTGTGGGTTGTCTTTTCACTTTTTTTAAAAGATGAGGTCTTACTATGTTGCACAGGCTGATCTTGAACTCCTGGTCTCAAGTGGTCCTCCTGCTTCAGCCTCCTAAGTAGGTGGGACTATAGGTGCACAACACTGTACTCAGCTTGTCTTTTCACTTTCTTTCTTGTTCATGTCCTTTGAAAAACAAAAGTTTTTAGATGTGATGAAATTCAATTTATGTGATTTTTTTTTTTTTTTGGTTGCTTATGCTTTAGGTGTCATATAAAAGAAACTTGTCTAAAAGGTCACAAAATTTTACACCTGTTTTCTTCTAGAGTTTTATAGTTTTAGCTTTGTCCATTTTTTGAATTAAGTTTTCTTATGGTATGAGATATGGGTCCATATTCATTCATTTTGCATGTGGATATCTTTATATCCTAGCACCATTTGTTACAAAGATTATTCTTTCTCCTCTGAATTTTTTTGTTATCTTTGTTGAAAATTAATTGATCATAAAATGTATTTCTGTACTTTTAACTTGGTTCCATCAATCTAATTATCTATCCTTATACTGGTAACACCCTGTATTACTCATACTTGATTACTGTAGATTATTGTAATTTTATTATCAGTTTTGAAATTGAGGAGTGTGAGTCCTCTAACTTTGTTCTTTTTTTGGTTTGTTCTTTGAGACAGAGTCTCACTGTGTCACCCTTGGTGGAGTGCTGTGATGTCACAGCTCACAGCAACCTCACACTCTTGGGCTCAAGCGATTCTCTTGCCTCAGCCTTCTAAGTATCTAGGACTACAGGCACCCACCACTATGCCTGACTATTTTGGGGTTATAGTTGTCATTGTTGTTTGGCAGGCCCAGGCTGGGTTTGAACCTACCAGTTCTGGTGTATGTGGCTGGTGCCCTAGCTGCTGAGCTATAGGCACCGAGTCTAATTTTGTTCTTTTTTAAGATTGTTTTGGCTATTCTGAGTTCCTTGCTTTTCCATTCCAATTTTAGAATCCAAGCTGAAGAATCTTGGATTTTAAAATTAAAATGGAGCTTTTCTCCAAACAATTACAACTGGGATTTTGATTGGGATTGCACTGAATTTGTAAATCAATTTAGGGAGTACTGCTGTCTTAATAGTGTTAAGTCTTCCACTTCATGAAGACAGATATCTTTCAACTTACATAGGTCTTCTTTAATTGTTTTTAATTTTTTAATAATTTTTACTGGACAGATTTTACAATTATTTGTTAAATTTATTTCTAAATTTTTTTCATTTTGGATTGTCCACTACCAACGTATAGAACTATATCAGTCTTTTACCTTGCAACTTTGCTAAATTCATCGGGTTCCTTATATTGTTCTATGCATAAGATGTCATCTGCAAATTAAGGCAGTTTTACTTCTTCCTTTCCAATCTGGATTCCTTTTATCTTTTTTTATTGCTTAATTACTCTGGCTAGAATTTTCAGTTCAATGTCGAATAAAAGTGGTGAGAGCGAGGGTGGTGCCTGTGGCTCAAAGGAGTAGGGTGCCGGCCCCTTATGCTGGAGGTGGCGAGTTCAAACCCAGCCCTGGCCAAAAAAAAAATAAAACTGGTGAAAGCGTACATCACTCTCTTGCTCCTAATATTAGAGGGAATGTTTTGAGTTTTTTCCCGTTAAGTATGATGTTAACTGTGGGTCTAGGGTAGTTGTCCTTCAGCAGGTTGAAGAAATTTCCATCTGTATCTGGTTATTGAGTATTTTACTCATGAAAGGTTATAACATTTTGTTAAATACCTTTTCTGTCTTTACTGAAATTTTGTGATTTTGAACTTTTGGTCTATTAATATGCAATATTAATATTTTTGCATGGTGAACTAGTTACATAATCCTAGAATTACTCCACATGGTCAGGATGTATAATCTTTTTTCTACATTCCTGGATTCGGTTTGTTAGTGTTTTCCTGAGGATTTTTGTATCTGTATTCATGAGGGATATTGGTCTTTAGTTTTCTTGTAATGTCTTTATCTGATTTGGTATTAGGATAATTCCGGGTTTATAGAATGAGTTTGGAAGTGTTGCCTTCTGTGAATGTTAAGTCTTTTTAAAAACAATTTTATGGATGAATAATAGTTGTATATATTTATAGGGTACGTGTGATGTTTTGATACAAGCATACAAGGAATAGTAATCAAATCAGGGCAATTGGGATATTCATCACTTTGAATATTAATCATTTCTTTGTGTTAGGAGCATTTTAGTTCCATTCCTCTATTTATTTTAAAATACACACAAGTTATTGTTAACTGTAGTTGCTCTATTGTGGTACTAAACAGCAGATCTTATTCTTTCTATGTTTTTGTACCCATTAACCAACCCTTCTTTGCCCCCTCATCCATTACCTTACCTAGCCTCTGCTTGCCATCATTCTCTTTCTATCTCCATAATATCAATTTATTATTAGCTCCCACACATGGGAGTTAAAACATGAGATATTTGTCTTTCTGTGCCTAACTTATTTCACTTAACATAATGCACTCTCGTTCCATCCATATTGTCGCAAACAACAGAATTTCATTCTTTTTTAGGGCTGAATAATATTCTATTATGTATACCTCATTTTCTTTATGCATTCAGCCATTGATGGATCCTTAGGTTGATTCTATATCTTGACTATCATAAATAGTGCTGTAGTAATCATGGGAGGGAGTGTAGATAGCTCTTTGATTTACTGATTTCCCTTCTTTTGGATATATACCCAGCAATGGGATTGCTGAATCATATGGTAATTCTATTTCTAGTTTTTTAAGGGACCTCCGTGCTGTTTTCCATAGTTGCTGTACTAATTTACATTCTTACCAACAATGTGTGATCATTTCCCTTTCTCTGCATCCTTACCAGCATCCATTGTTTTTTGCCTTATTGATAAAAGCCATTTTAACTGAGTTAAGATGTATCTCATTGTGGTTTTGATTTGTATTTCCCTGATGATTAGTGATGCTGAGCATTTTTTCAAATACCTAATGTTAATTCTTTAAACATTGGTAGAATTTACCAGTGAAGCCAGCTGATCCTGGAGTGACTTTTTTTTTTTTTTTGGTGATTAATGTTTTTAAAAAATTGTGGTTTAATG